TCTGTCTTTTTCACCACTTTTGGCTATATTTTATCATACTATAAGATTATTGCCATACATGTTTTAAATCATTGGAAAAATCTTCGATTGTGTAATAAAATGCAAAATAATACAAGTGCAGAAGTGTCTTATTAGCTTCAACATCCCCCCAACCAATTTCCCAAAACTATGCTTGAGGGTTATTTATTGGCACAGAAGTACGATATGAACTGACGTGACGTGACGAAGGAAAAATCAAACTTGCACTGCAACGGATGGACCTCCCTTTTAAAGTCAGAACGTGTCTTTTCAATAAACAGATATTTTTCTCAAATAAAATCATAGATTAATCTTTATTAGACAGATGAAATCGCGGAAGTTTTAACTACAAAAGATCCACCAATATGATTTTAATACTATTTAAAGGTTCTTCTAAAAGAAGATGTACCAGTTAACATACTAATAATAACTCCGATGATGTACAGTATGGGAAATATTTTATTCATTGAATGATCAACCATATTTGGCAACTAATGCAATTAATATCATTATTGTTTTTACACTTATTACTCTTTAAACAATGCTAAATGCTCAAAATATGTATAATTTCACTCAATTTGTCGCAGTTATATCAGTTGCAAGCCTTGAAAGTAACCGTCGATTTCGACGGGTTTCACCTAGTTAATTAATAAAATCGGTCCAGAGAGAGAGAGAGAGAGAGAGAGAGAGAAATCTTTATTTTACAATCATCAAGATTGAAAATGGTGTCATTACACAAAATTAGAAAAGAGTATTATGATCTTGCTTTACACAGAGTCATTCTTCCAGTTCTTAAACTCCTCGATGTTATAGAATGGGCGTGACAGCAACCAAACAGACAGGATCTTCTTCAGCTTATCGGGATTAGTCCTCTTCACCTCATCCGGCAGGACATTAAAGAGCTTTGCTCCGGCGTAGGTAGGCTTCCGTTGAAATCTTGCCGTACGATGTGCTGGAAGGTTGAAGTTTGAGGCATTCCTAGTGCGGTGGGAGTGGACATCTCTGTTTCGTTGCGGATCTGCTGAGACAGCCAAACAGATCACCTCCAGTAAGTAAATATTTACCACAGTTAGGATCTTCAAGTCTTTAAAGGCCTCTCTGCAGCTGTCCCTCCAACCAAGACCAGCAATCATCCGAACCGCTTTCTTCTGGATGGTGAGCACACGCTTTAGATTGCTCTGCGAAGTGGCGCCCCAAAGAACAATCCCATAGCGCAGCCGGCTCTCAAACAAAGAGTTGTAGGTTGTCATGACAGCTTCCGGAGTACTTATATTTTTCACTCTTCGGAGAGCAAATAGAACACTACTAAGGCTGCTGCAGAGCCCATCCAGATGTCCCCACCAAGTCAGCGCGCTGTCGATCACCACCCCCAGATGTTTTGTGGCCTCAACCCGTTCAATATCGGGGAAATCAGACACCTCCTCCCTCAGCGTTCCAAAGTTGAGCTGCTTGGTCTTGGATTCGTTGAACACTAGGTCGTTCATATTGCAGAACTCAACAGCCATGTTTAGGGCAATGAACGATTCAACTTCAAGCTTTTCTTTATCCTTGTTTGATGTGATGAGCACCGTGTCGTCAGCGTACATTACCATGTTGCAGAAAGGACTTGTGTAAGCGGGAAAGTCGGCCGTGAATAGAACAAACAGCACAGGGCCTAAGACTGATCCCTGAGGGACACCTCTATTGACTGCAAGTTTGCTGGATCTCACAGCGGTGCATATATTGTTCTTGGTTTGCTTGATTTCCACAACTTGATCTCTACCATTTAGGTAACTTTGAAACCATGCAAGGGCTCTCTCCTCAAAGCCAAGGGCAGTGAGCTTGGCCAGGATCAGACTGTGACTGAGGCAGTCAAAGGCCTTACTTAGATCGAGAAATATGCCCATGACGGTTTGGCCCTCCTCAAGCCTGTCTATCACATCCTCAACTAGAGAAACCAAGGCGGTAGATGTGGATCTATTGCTGATGAAGCCATGCTGTTTATCCAAGATGATGCCATTCCTCTCCAGGTGGTCAACTATTCTGGACAGAACCACTTTCTCCATCAACTTTGAGAAAGTTGAGACCAAGGAAATAGGCCTATAATTGCCCAGCTCGTATTTACTTCCCGACTTGTGAAGAGGGACCACTTTGGATGACTTCATTTTCTTGGGGACGTGGCCTTGGTTGAAACTAAGGTTGATAATATGGTTTAGAGGCTCTATAAGTTCCTCATGACATCGCTTCAACATCAACGAAGACACCTCATCCAGCCCGGAAGAAGTTTTGTTTTCCATGCTGTTGATTATCTTGACAAGTTCCTTCTTCGATGTAGGAGTGAACACTGATGCTGGATATTCAAACTGCCATTCATGGGATTGGATGTGATCCGTTTTCTCAGTCTGTATTTTCTTAAGAGTCTCTTCTGCAATAGACGTGAAAAAGGCGTTGAACTCATTAGAGACATCAACAGGATCATCAATGACTGTTTCGCCTATGTTCAGATGTGCTGTGTTTGAAGGTTCTCTCTTTGGTTGCCTTTCACTGTTAATAATTTTCCAGACCGCTTTACTTTTGTTGTTGGACTCTGAGATGTAGGTTGCATTGGCTGCCTTTCTTAATGATCTCAGTTTTAAGTCATAGGACCTTTTTAACTCATTAGCTATTTCCCTGTCTTCATTTCTCCCACTCAAGATGTAGATGTTGTGCGCTTCGAGGTACTGTGTCTTCAGTAAGCCAGCCTCCTCATCAAAAACATGTTTAACAGTACTGCGAGGTTTCGCTCGGGATCTCCTAACAGGGCAAGCTGAGTTTAAAGCGAGCGTCACAGTCGTGATGAAATTGTCGTAAGCTTCTTCGACGTTGCCACATTGTAGCACTTCATTCCAATCTTGTTCAGCAAGAAGAATCTTCAGATGTTGTAAAGTGTCATTGTTGATGTGTCTTAGGGTTGCCGTCATAGGCACACTTTCTCTGATTTCAGGCAATAGGTTGAACAGTTGTCCTGTGTGGTCCGAAATTCCAGTTTGAGCCACCTGAAAATCCACTTCACCCAAGCGCTGGGAGGAGATGCAGAACATATCGATGGAAGACGATGTGTCCTTGGTGATCCTGGTAGGAGGAAGTTCCAATCTCTGAATGTCATAGGTCGCTAGAAGTTCATTGAGAAGCGTCCTCTCATTGGATGGTTGAAGATGGTCAACATTGAAATCCCCGATGATAACGGTAGTGTTGTTGGCTGAAGTCCACTCGTCTAGCACGTTCGAGAGTGTCTGCAGAGCAAGAGAGAAAGATTCCTTATCATTCTTGGGAGGGCGGTAAACACCCAGAACATTCAAGCGTGACTTCTTGCTTATAACAAACGAAATGGCTGTTACCTCACAAATCAAAGGGGTGCTGAAGTGCTCAAGGTTTAATGAGATTATATCATTGTTTATGCTATCATGTTTGTATATGGCCACACCTCCCTTCATCACATTGTTCCTGCTGAAAGCCGAGACAAGACTGTAGTTGATAAGCCTGGTATTAGCTATGTCATTCTCGTTTTGGCCATGTTCGGTGATCACTACTAAATTTGGATTCGTTAAGTGGAGTAAATGGTTCATTCTTTCAATTTTATTACTGATCCTGTCTGTATTTTGGTGGAAAATAGTTAAACCTTTGGCATTTTTCTCGCTGAATTTATAAAACTTCTCTTGAACCCTGTTGGGTTTTTTAACTTTGACTTTATCTTGTGGCTCTGTCCTAAAAAATAATGATTGTCTTCTACGATTTCGACTGCTGTGTCTAGATTGGATTTATCTTTCACTGACGGAGATAGAACTAGTGGGAGTTGATTTTCTTCATATTGCGGCTGTAGTAGTTGTGTTTCTTTGCTGGGAAGGACACGAATTTCTTCTTTGATTTGTTTTAGAAATTCTTCAATGTTATTGTTGAAAAAGTCTTCAAATGTCTCTCCCTCAAGAAGAAGCTTGGCGCTAATTGGCGGCTTCCTAAGAGTTCCAATTGCAATCTCTTGCTCTTCGCAAATAGGTGGTGTTTTACAAATTTTGTGTGGATTGACACTTTCATAATCTGTGCAGGAAGATTTTTTAGTGTTTGCTTCCAAGGACGAGAGCCTTTTTTCCATGAACAAGTGGCTATTTGTAAGTCTATTTAATTGTGCTGTAAGATTGTTCAGAACATCACTATCTATTTCCTTGGATTCACTTGGGCTTATTTTTAATGAGTGCTCTTCCTCGGAATACCCGTTGTCATTTTCTAGCTTCTTTAGTTTGTGTTGCAGCTTTTCAATTTCGTCTTCTTTTGCTTTTAAAATTTTTATTTGTTCATAATCATGATCTTCATAAAAATTACGCACCGTTATTTTCTCTTCCTTAACTCTTTCAAGTTCCCTATCACTGTCTTCCAACATTTGCATTAGCTGTTCTTTTCTTATCACTAGTTTGTCATTGATTGATTGCAGATCCTCAATTTCCATCATAAGCGTTAACAGTTTATTGTCTTTCTGTAAATTTTCAGCCTTTAAGTCACTTATCTTTTTTAGCAAAGCATTGCCGACTTCACCAGCAATTTTCAAGGCATCATCGTCAGTAATAATATTATTGTCATCAGTGGCCTTTAGACTTAATTCTATTCCAAGTTCATCCAGAGTTTTTTGGGAAGCACTTGGAGTTGTAACGTCTAGTATTTCTGAGACCTCAGTGCTATCACAAACTCCAGTAGTCCAGTAGAACTCTAGATTTATAGTTGTACTGTACAAAGATTTTTAAAACTGAATCATATATAGAATAGATATATAGAACAAAAATAATAATAAATCAGTTCAAAGTATTAACTTGAAAATGGGTGTAGTAATTGTATTGGCCACTAGGCAGCACTGGTTTGGTCAGGAGGTTCCAGCCGTGTCTGCTAGGTAGCACTGCTAACGCTAACTGCTATCAATGCGCCACGCCTCCAATGACCTGCGCCTTCATAGTCACGTGGTTACGTCATCTGTTCGAAATGGAGGGCACAGGTAATTTCTGGTCTCAGTCTTATGGTGATTTTCGTGTAGAGCAGCGTGCGTCCCACCGTTTTGTTGTTCGCGATGCCAGCTCAAAAGTTCGTGGATAAACATTCTTTAAAAATATTAAACATGGAACCTACTGGGATTCCGCCGAATAATTCTCACCAGCATTTGATGAACGAAGATGGTGATAGTGTTGATACAGTGGTGCCACCGTTGTCGTCGAATTCAACAGATCCTAGAACTGGCGCGAAAAGAACCCCTGTTGAAAATCGTATTACTAAAAGACAAATTTTAACCGTCGTAGTTTTGTGCTTCGTCAACATGATCAACTACATGGACAGATATATCATTGCTGGTAAGTTTTTGACGACTGTCACCAGCATATAACCTAAAATCTGTGACGTACAAAGTGTTGTTTACCCTAACCTCAAAACTGAATGTTTTCTATTTATTTATTTATTCATATCAAGGATATGATGTTATTGTAGAGGTAGTTGCTTGCCAGCTTATTACTTTCTACTCTATAAAATTTTAAGACGAGCCACTCCAAAGGAATTAAATCAAAGTGATATATAAAGCGGTGACTTATATTCTACCATTTCAAATTGATTTCAATACAGTATTAGGCCCAGCGCACACGGTGTGACTGTTTTACACTACAGTTGTGTCTATTGTGCAATCAGTGGAGTGTCAATTTAGTGTTGTTACGTTGTTTTAAGGCCTTAAGTGCGCTTACTATGTCAGTCTCAGACGAAGAAGACGTTATTAGCCATTATCAATACCGAAGACAGTGAAGGGTACTGAGAGAGCATTGGGTTCACCTTTATTTGAGCAAGAATGTTAGTACTAGGCTGTTTGTAGCAGCTAGAGCTAGTCGGATAGGAAATTATAAACACTAATAACACTATACGGCCGTCAAAATACCACCAAACACCACAAAACACCTTGTGGTCTCGTGCAACTGAAGTCTGCAACGCAACTGCAACGTCGGGCCCACGGTTGCATGCAACTGGTTTCAAATGTTTTTTGAAATCGCATATTACCAGTTGCGTCGTGTGTGCTTCCCCATTGCAATACATTGCCGAGGTCACAAAACAAAAGTTGTAAAACAGTCACACCGTGTGCGCTGGGCCTTATGAACCGAACTAAGAACTTTTAGGCTAGGCCTACTAACTTAAGGCATTATGGCAGAGCATATTTTAAGGGATTTCCCCTTAAAATTGCCTATATTGAAGCATTATTGTGCGCATAATTGTTAGGTATGGAGAAAATTCCAAAAAATTGTAAAATTTAAAATTCCAATGTTATTCTTATGGAGAATAAAACTGTTGTAGTTTGCTTGTTTATGAACAAATTTTGATCGAATTTGGAAAATACATTAATTTCTTACTAATTTTACTACTACAAAAACACTTTATTTTTAGGTAGGCCTACCCTCTCTGTTGCAGCAAACCTAAGTACTGTAACTTACTTGTTAGTTGAGACGGGAGTATGTTTTATATCTATGGTTGAGATTACATAATAAATAAATAAAGATAGGCTAGGCCTACTTAATAATAAAATTAATAAAAGCAGAAATATAAAAAAAAATCATTCTTAGTAATTTCTATATCCGACCAGGGGGTAAAAATCTGGCCCGTACATCTTCAGTTGTCTAACCAACCACTAGTCTAAATGCTAAACTGTTGTCTAAACGCTAGTTATATGGACAGGGGGTAAAATTCCGGTTTTTATTGTTAATCTAATTAATCACGCTCTGTCTATTTTCGTTAAGTTAGACTTCCAAATCTGTGGGGGTAAAATTCCAGAGGGATAAAAATCCGGCGACCCAACAATCCAGCACAGGCTTACTTACCTCAAATCTGTCACTGCACGTTTCTAAGAGGAGATGTTGACCCTTTGTAAATTGTTTTTACATTACTTATTAATTACAACATGCTATCAAACATCCCTGTAAGTACCGGTAGTTAGCCATCAAAAAGTAAAATAATATGTTTAACCAATAGGTACCAAATAATTATGTCAGAAGCAAAGAACTTCTCCTGTTCAATTGTCATGAAAACAAAATCGTATAAACAAAATTGTCTGCAAAGTAGACTACCCAATTTAATTAAATTCTGGTTTTCAGGCCTTTAGAAATCTGGGTTTCTGGAATTGATAAAATTGTATGATAAATTATCTTATTATAGGCTGTTACCCACGGGATTCACCCCGTTTGACTTCATAAGTACCGTAAGATTGGTTAAGTTTAGATGAAATAACTTAGACCTAAACAAAACAGAATACAGTTAGACAAACAAATAATTACACCAGATTTTAATAAGGTAGTACCATAGATAAAACATACTCCCTTAGTAGATTTCTCATCCTTATGGAACAGCTGAAGACAATTTTATTGTTAGTTCTGTACGGTTTATGTAGAGGTCGTGTTTTGTTTACAATTTGTTTCCCGTTATTACAGCCATTTAAAACCTCGTTTAACCAAATAATACGATCTAATCATAAACAATAACCTGTCCCCTAGTTATATAACCAAACAGTAAAGCACAAATCAAGAAATTAACCCTAAAATAATAGAAACAAAGTTTCGTCGACACTAGCGCCCATGTGTCACGTACATGAACTAGACACGAAAAACGTGCTTCAAAATTTACAATGGGATGAGAAGTCTACTTGTGTTGGTTAGTCTATGGTAGTACCTTCTGTATCCAATAGTCAATGGTAGTACATTGAAATAATAACAAACAAATAAGTACAGCTGAGGTATTTTTAACATAAAAATAAGATAATGGATGGTTTTGCGCAAGGGTTCTCGTCATGACGAACATTTTAAGTACTGTATATGGTTTGTAGGGGTATGACTTTTAGTTTCCTCAAAAGTTCATGGGTACATTGGGATTTATATATGTTAGGCCTATATATTTGAAGACATTTAGGTGTTTAGCTGAAATGTCTTCAAGGTTTTTATTGAATCACATATGGTCAAATTGCAACCAATTATTTTATTGGTGTTCAGTTGTTACAAATATTATTGTTTTTCCTTCAATAGATATTGTACCTAACCAACTATCAGTAGGCCTACAGGATTGATTGTGAAAACTATGTACGGGAATGAAAATGGTATTACAATGTACTTTGTTGGAGTAAAGTGTTAGCTTACACCTACTTATAGGCATGTGGATTATTAGTTTTATTACAGTGGTGATATTATCCTTTGTTAACCTTTTGAACTATGGAGATAGATACATCATTCCTGGTAAGTCAATTTTGAACAATCGTTTGGTTAAACTCTTAAATTAGGTTAATGTTGGAAATTAGTGTGTATGAATGCCTTACCTTATTTCACTACAACTGGTACTGTATTTCAATAGTTTGTAAGACATTTCCCAACGTTTTTAGTTATTTTTATTCGTTCTACTTTCTTGTACAGACACAGGTTCAAAATAATGGAAAATATCTGCCTATTATTAATTTAATGTGTTGACATTTCAGTGGTTTGTATATAAATAATTTTAAATTATACCTATTGACCTTTGAAGAAAAAACTGACAAAGTTAAAATGAGACGATTGTTTAAGATAAGTTAGTAGGCTATTCAAATGAATAACTTTAAGCAAACAACCTTAATGTTTTTCCTGAAATGTCCTATTAAATTGGGGTTTTTTAAAATCCCTAAATACAAATAATTGTTAAGTAATAAAACGTACCATGTGTCTCGAGGCGATTCTATTCTAATCAAAGTTAGTCTAGCCAAAACACACTAAAGATGACTGCATTCGAATTAGTGATGTCCATATAAGTTTACGGCATTGCAACAGCTTCTGTAGGCCCAACTTACTTATATTTTAAAATTTATCAAACTATTGTATAGAATTGGCTATCTACATGGCGACTAGTTTCGGAGCCCTTAAAAGCCAAAATGTTTAAATTTCTATACGGTAACGGTACATGATACAGTGTGATTGAAAAGTCCCGGAACGGTGTAGTAATGTATTTTTTACCATTGTAGTAAAGTAATGAGACTTGCTTTATTAATGATAACCATAACTGTCTACTATTTTTAAAGGGTCGCCTCAATATTATCCCTATGGAATTTTACTCCCTGGACAGATATACAAATTAGTGAGATTAATTTTCTAATTTCAGTTTTGATTGAATATCAGAACAGTATACATGCCAGCCTATCTTAATTTATTTGTAACCTCCACTAAACTGGTTTTGCTGTTAATTTTGATATTCTAGTTTCGGGATCACACTTTTTTGGGCTAACTGTTAGTTAATACTGTATGTGTGTAAACAAACTGAGTAGCCCATTTGATTGATAATTGGGTGAACATTTCTTGAACGATTTATTATACGACCGTGCAAAAACAATTTATTTCGTTTCTGTTGTTTGTACTATGGCATGCCTTTTTTTCTTCAGGTACAAACCATGGGTTTCAATACAGTAGCCTACTCAACACTGTACCGGATGCCTAAAACTACATTTTACCTTTTTTAGCACAAACTATCAATTAGCCTAGCTCATAGTTTGTGCTAGAATGAGGCATATTTTGTTATTGTTACAATACAAATGTGGGAAATTGTTTTCCACGGTCTTATAGTAAATCGTCAAGTTCGAGACCATTATCATTTGGTATATGGGACAACCAACTAACAGTTGGCCCTAAAAATCGAATAGGCCTACCGGAACTCGAATCTCAAAATAAATGCAAAACCTGTTTCATTAGTTGAGGTTACACATAAATTTAGTTAGACTACTTAATAATAAAATGTTTACTATTAAAATGAAACTGAAAGAAGGAAATTAATTATTCTCACTAATTTCTATATCTGGCCAGGGGTTAAAAATCCGGGACGTAAATTTGGAACTGACCTCATGAAGGGGGTAAAATTCCGGCCCGTACGCTCTAGGTTTTATAATTTTATGTGCTGATTAAATTCACAACTGTGAAAATATAGGCACACGTTTAATTCCACCTTTATTAAATTTATTGAACCGATTTTGTGCAACTCAAAAGTTCGTGGCTGGAATTTTACCCCCTGGTTTCGGTTTGTGTCATCAATTTTGCTCAGATGGTAAAATTCCAGGGGGAACATTCCTTTAAACTATGGTCACTTTTTATCGCTTATAGGGGTGATCCACGTGGAGTCACAAAAATTCTTAAATAACAGCATGGTTAGTATCTATAGAACAAATTTCCACAAACCTGAATGCAAATGGACAACTGAGTCAAATACCCCCGCCGCAGCAAACCTGCTGGCTAAGCGAATTTCCAGTTGTCTGAATTGTTTTTCAATTAAATGTATTTAATTAACATTAGGTTTTATGAGTACATAGGCTTGCTTCTACAGG